CGCCTGGAACGGGAGAAGTGCTGAGCCCTGTGTGCTGGGTGTTGTAGGGCAGGGTCGGGGCCGCTGCTACAGGTTCAGTGAGATGATTTCGGCGAGGGCTGGCGGTCCTCCCGCAGCCTGAGCACCAGGAGCAGCAGTTTCTCAGGAAAATGACTGTCCTGCACGTGCTTCACGAACAAGTGACAACACCCATACACTGTTCTTAGCATCCTATCCTATTTTATAAATACTCTTAATTCTTTGCTTTACAGTTGATAAAGAGAAGGTCTTGCACTCATTTACAGATTATTCTGGTAGAGATCAGAAAGCAAAGGTGTAAATCGTTTTTCCCCCAGCTAACCTGAAACCTCTTCACTGACAATGAGTCGCTAACATCCTCATACATACAACAGCCTGCTTCCCTTCGTTTTATTTAGTTCATTATAGATCGAACACTGCAGTTGCTATCTGTGCATACATAGAAATTATAGATCTACCATAGTTTTAATTCTTCCACTGATTTCTATTTCCTTTTATAAATTTACTAGTTTTGACCAGATTTCTGTAACAATAAGCAGGAGTTTCAACAACCAACAGAAGCTTTTTAGGTACAGTGAAACTATTTCTTAAGCTGCATTTTAATGATTGGTGGAGCTTTCTGTTGTCACAGTAAACTGATTGTAGGGATTCTCTTCTGTAGCCTATTTCAATATTTAGTGGAAACAGGATGCTGAAAAAAGGAAGTCACAATATTTAAAGATTTTTCTCCTCTCTATTATAAAATTACTGTAGAAAACACTGTGGCCTTGAACAGAAAAGTGCACCATGAGTTGTCCCTCTTATTCTTTGTGATCAAGGGCAAAAGGGGTATTGGAGACCACTACACAAGCCTCATCCACTGTGGTCACCCAGAACGTGGCCAGGAGGAGCAAAACAGATTTCCCCAGCCTGTGCTTCTACTTTCAATAAAATCAGAACCTGTCCAGCTCCAAGGCCAGAAAGGCCAGAAAGTGCCTGTGCATTTTTTTTTTTTTTTTCAGAAGGGTTCATCCTTCTTTTTTAAGTGATCCTACACTAACAATGAGAAGTGCACCAGTGTGTCTTCTGAGACACAATACAAATACAGGTGTAGGCTTGCCAAACCAAAGCAAATTTGTATTCCATGAGTCTGAAAGCACACAGCAGACTCCACAGTCCGTCTAGGTCTATACCCACTCACTAAATGTAGGACCCATCTTACGGTTAGCAGCAACAAATTATTTCAATACCAATTGCAACCATGGGAAATAAAACAGGCCAAAAGGGGGGAAAAAAAAAACAACTTAAGGTTGCTGGCCTAGGTGAAGAACCCTGCTGGGTTTCCTACTGGGAAAAAAAAAATGTGGGGTTTTGCAACATTGAACTCAAGAGGAAAAATACCCAATAACTAGAAGCTGAACAAATTTAAAGATGTAAGTTCATTTTCTTCCAAACAATCAAGTGCTTACACATGGTCATGAAGTCACCTCTCTCTTCAAAAAGAAAAGAGTTCTTTAAAATACAACTTCGGCTTATAACTTGGTCAAAATAGGGTAATGGTAATAATTACAGCAAAAACCTTTTATAAACTTTATTACCAAATATCAGATGGTATTCCTTATAAGAGAACTTAGAACTGCAGTGTGTTCAGGTCAGAAAATCAATGTACTACAATCATGTTGTGGAATAAATCTATTTAAAATAAGTATTTCACAGAGGAGATTTTTGCGAGCAGATTCTACAGACAGCCCTCTTGCTGTAAAACACTGTCTCCAGAGTTGACAAATGATGGTCCCCAAGCTTCATCCCATCCCTGGAAGAATTTTCTAAGTAGTATTTGGAACAGAGTATTGATAAAAGACAAGTAAGGAATACTTATTCCTTTTTCTGAGACTACAACAAACACAAACATAGGGTATCTTCCAGCAAATTTAGTACCAACAAACTTTTTCATAGAATGAATAACTAACTTTTGTAACTCATTTAAGCACAATATTACAGAGGTCATAAGTCTGTGTGAATGGCGGTAACAGTAAAAATCAAACAAAGCTGAATTCCCTCAAGGTTCTTTACACAGAATGTCTCTATGCAACTTCTGTCTCCTAAAGCACAGACAGACCCAGAGTAGTCAGTCCTCTGACAAACACGGGTCTGGGAACTACTCACCCATCATCAGATCCTTTCCTCACACAGGTAGTGCTTTTGAGGGGTAGGACCCTTACTTCTCTCCATCCAGTAAATTCTTCACATGACAGCTTACCTAAAAAGTAAGGACATGAAGCACTACATGGGATAAAAAAAAAGTCTTACTTCTATTCATATCATGATGCATTTACAAGCCCTAACAGACAGAAGAGCCCTGTTACAGGAATCTGGGCATAAATGTAATAAACAGTCATTAGTCTGGAGAGCTTACAGTCGGAAGGCATAGTTCTGCGAGTGATTGCAGACTGCACCTGTACACAGCCCCACTGATTTCTCTCATTTCATCAGTGCACAACTTGCATCTGATTAACTGAGAAGAGCAACATTACTCATTCTCTTTAAAAGCGCAGAAACTATCAGGTATTAAGTAACAGAGACACAGAAAACACAAGGAGCAGTAATAGTCACACAGAAAACTACCGAAGTCTCATTCCAAGCAGAGAGGCATTTAGATCATTAGTTGAGCCCAGAGATCACTCCTGAAGACCCTGACACTTTTCTCTCCAAAGCTTTGTTGTAACAAGCATCTGACAGTCTTAAAGTCACAACACCTCTTATCTCTCCACTTCATGGAGAATAAAATAGGAATAAGCAAATTCAATTTGTATCCCATCCACCCAGAGGTTAACTACTTTCTTGTCATATGATGGATTGCCTATCTCCCTTACTTTCTCCACAGGTGCTCCTTGCATATCCATATGCAGCACAGTATCTCCTCCTTCCTTAACTTGAAACCCGATTCATAATTTTTGTTTCCTGATTTCTATTTGTGTTAATATGTGTACTCCCGAGATCCCAGCTGCACAAATTCATTGTATTTATAGGAAGTACGTTTTGCTCATTTCCTCATGCTGCCTCAACCTGGAAGTGCAAGCAGTTAAATACCTGAATAAGCAAGTAAGAAAATAAAATCAGAATTTTAAAAATAAATAAATAAATGAAAGCTTAAAATATGCAAACATGTGTTTACAGAGAAAATTTCCATGATATTTCACAGATGTGAAAATTCATGGGCAAAGGACACAATCTTGCTACCAGGAGTAAGAGAGTTATAGAATATGCTAGCCTGCTGTTTCTAATAAACAGCCTACATAACCAAAATAGAACAAAAATAATGAGTATTTCTCAGAGCAGAAATGCAAAATTTTGTTCATTACACACTAAACTGTAATATCAGATATGAATTTAACTAATGAATGAAATCACACACCAAAGATTTAAGGGCACATAAAAAAAAATATTCATTTCTTTTTCTCTGTAATTTGTTCATGTCATTTTTCATTGTATTAAAATGTCAGTAAGTTTTGTTATTTCATGCAAAGGTTATATTTTTTCTCCTTGTATGCAAAAGAACAAACATATGATTGTGAAAAGAAGAAATTAAATATTTAAAATGTGTTAATTTTTTTTTAGCCTACAATTCTTTCAGGTTTCTTTACACCATGATACAAGAAAAATTAAGTGTGAATAGGAAAAATTTTGTAATTCCGGTCTTTACTTTATACTGAAGTGAAAGTTTAAAAAGGTAGCTGGAGAATGCGGGCATCGATCCCGCTACCTCTCGCATGCTAAGCGAGCGCTCTACCATTTGAGCTAATTCCCCACGTGAGGGAAAGCCAACCTCTTTGAAACTTTCACTTAGAGACTCTAGACTTACCGAGAATTACAATGCAGCGACGGCTGATTAGAAATGCCTTGGGTTCTTGCTGAGTCACTCTTTCACTCAGCAACAACCGACTGCAACCCACAGCTGGAATCATGTGATACATCTTTCAGCACGTACGCTGCTAGAATCATCTTATTCATCTCTTTTATAACACAAGTCTCTGTTATTTAGCTGTTTTCATACAAGAAGCTCTCCAAAAGACTATTTACAAGAAACCAAATGTCTTATTGAGGAAACCCCCTGACTTTTATTGAATAACCATTCCATATTCAATAAAGAAACACATCTTCTTTCCAATTTTTAAGGTATACACATGAAAAATGTGGTTCAGGAAATGTTTAATGAGTGAAAAATATTATATGCTGGATTGAAACAGTTTTAGTCAAAGCTTATACCTCTGTATGTTATAAATGCAGAGGCAGAACCAGAAAATAACATTTATGAATTTATTGAAATGAGAACAAGCAAAACAAAAAAAGTTTTGGTACGCCGGGGAGCAGGGGGGGTTTCTGCTCTGCACCGACATACCGAGGACGCCGCATGGATGGATGCGCGACAACAAAGCATAAACAAACCCACCACTCTTTATAGTCTTTCTAATACATATTCATAAGATGAGTGTGTTTTAGTCCACACAAGCACAGTGGAGTTTCTCCAATCTTCTCAGTTTTTCTGGCATTGTTGGGGTTTTTTTGTTGTTGTTTTTCCACTCCTTCTCTTGCTAAAATGAGAGTCCTTCTGAGCGGGTTTTTTCCAGTACTTTTCCACATTTTCAATAACTGTCCATGTGAGTCTCTATTTACTTGATAAAAAACCTCCAAACCATTTTAACAATTAAACTACAATAAATCTCTTTCAGCTTATGTACATCAGCAGCACCCATGCTCCTCATATTAAAGTCATTATATTTTTAACATGAATCACCACCATATTCTTCACATGTGTGTGTATGTATACATACACATCCATTTGGAAGGTGGTGTGGCTTCTCTGGGGTGACACAGTCAACTGAAATTAAATCTGTATTTTTCTTATTACCTGACCAAATACACTTTCCTATAGTACCTTACTTTTAATAGCCTTATAACACTGTCTTCTGAAAAATGAACACAACACACCCAAGCATGACAAGTGCATGCATGACAGGACGCAGCACATAAAGCACACACCGTAGACAGGGACCATGCCGATGTACGGTAACAGGCCATCTTTCACATTTTAATTTTCACCTTTACTTGCCTACACCAAGTATCTATCTCAAAATGCAGAACTAGAGAGTTACCAATTACTACTACTAGCTCCATTGGTCTACTTGGACAAAGCTTGTGATTGCACGAGTCATCCTTCTGTCAGAAAGTCGGAAAAATCACACCAACTAGGTGAACGGTCGGCGCGGCCCGGCCCGGCCCTGCGCACCCGCTGCCCCGCGGGGGCGC